GCCCCTGGGGTCTCAGTGTGTTGCAGCACTCCTCCAGCTACTAAAATGAATGGGAACGCTATTCCAGCCCGAACCAGGACACTGATTTTCTATAAGAAATTCTGCCAGGATATATCTATTTTCTGCTATTTATTTTCTAGTAACATTGAAGTGGTCTCTGACCCTGATCTGAGCAGCTTTTTCAAATGCTCTGTCACCTCACATTTGAGTTTAAAACAGTTGGGTTGTGTTTTAGCAGCTTTCTTCCACAAAGATAAGAAATGGTCAAAACAAAAATTTAAAATTTGACTTGTTAGGAAACAGTCTTCTTGCTGTGCCACCAGTTGTTGAACTTGTACACAGAAACAGATGTTAAATGTTGTAATTTTTTGTAAAGAAGTGTTTGGTTGCTCACAGAGTAAGCAAGGAAAAAGCTAATTGCTAAACTAGTTATTTGCAAAGACCCTACTACTTCTTTAGTGTACGAAACTACTTTGAGTAAATTTCCTGGGTATCCACTACCAGATTTCACCACTGTGCCTTGCCAGGGGGATCACCAGCGTTGTTCTCATGCTTAAGTGGTATGGGAACACATGTGACATCATGCATCCATAATGTCACATTTGGTAATTCATTATGGCAATCATATCCTTCAATGGATTTCCCTATAAACAGTATTTGCATTTATTCTGCTACTAGTTCAATCATTTACATTCATTTCCTACTGCCTTCTGGGCTTTGTTTTTTCTGTGCCGTTCAGATTGTGGGTAATTTTATGTATGTATGTGATTTAGAAGCTATATTGTCTTTGCATTAGTTTAACACTGAGTTGGAGCTGCACGAAGGAATGAAATGCCATTTATTACATAGCATTATGTAGAAGCATACGATCAAAGTGCTCTTTTGTTCAGCTTCATTTCCATAGCCTCGAACTAAACACAGGAGGACTCTTGGCCAGAAAAGCAGTTCAATGTCTACATTAAACTAAAGCCTATTGAGAACAGCTCTCCCACAGCAGCAGTCTGTCACTTTGCCATTTGGTCTCCTTCCCTCTTGTCTTGATTTTTGGCTGAAATGCTTTTGCATATTCTCTCATGCTGTAGAGCACACATTTCTATTCAGTCTATTTCACTTATTTCACTCAGAGTGCCTTAAGTTAGCTTCACTGACTGGCAACCCCATTCATTTCATTTAGTAATTCCCAGGGCAAACAATTGCTTATTGATACACTGCCAAGGTTACATTTCTCTCATATTCTGCGCCAGATCTAAAGGATGTGTCTCCCATTCCCTCTTCCTCACTTTAAAACACCACCCCCATTTACCTATTTTGACACCAGTGAAAAATGGGTGTGCACTTGAGCTATGCTGGTAAGGGTCTGTCACCATCAGTATATGACTAAATAAAGTGAAGTAAGCTTGTGTTTTCACTCTTGTCCAAGCATGCAAAATTGTGGGCACACTGTATCTATGGTTGCACTTCATCTGTCTGAACTGAGCTCTGCCCCAGGAGGTACCAGTGGTGGTTCGTGTTGCCTTCAGTGTTCTGCACAGAGCCAGGGGTAGTCCCTGGCTCCTGGGCAACATACCTAAAGCAGCTTTGTCCCACATCTTGCCATGAATATCTTTCTGATACACAAGTTATCTTTGTCTACAATGCAGAAAGCATTCAAGCATGCTTGAATTTCAACCTTCACCGGCTCTGTCTAGCTGGCAGGACTCAATCTAATCTCCAGAGAAGTACCTTTAGAGAAGACAATCTTCTGCATGTCACCAAAGACTGATTTTCACCCCCTTGGAGGGCAGCAGGGATCTGGATCTGACTGTGAACTATTAGCATGTCAGCTAAGACCACTAGAAGGGGTAAAAAGTACCTGGCTACGATTCTGTAATGTTAGAGACAGATGCCATATCAATCACATTGTCCTTATTAACTGTTTTTAATACAAATGGCTCTCCAAGTCCTTCGGTGTCCAGGAGGCCTGATACTCATACCACTTCTATCAGTAGCTGAAGAGTTGTTAATATCTAGTCCTGCTAGAACCTAATGTCTCCCAGCTTGTAGTAAATCTGGACCAAGATCTTTCCTCCTCTGCTTTTTTTGATCTGTTGAAATTTCATCTATAATTTATGCCCAGCCTTGACCCATAAGACCCAAGGTACTGTCTTTGTATCTTAAAGTAGGTGAAGAGGTTAAACAGGCAAGAATGTGCCAAGAGTTGGTTAGCATACAGATGACTGGATTAATTCATCCCTCTGTCAAAGATGTGGCATCAAGCAGGCCATAGAAACTTGAACTTTCACAAAAAATCAATTGAAATTTAACAGTTCTAGCTGGAAGTTTACTTTATAATTAAGAAAGTGCTTTGCTTGCTTTCTCTAATTAAACAAAATAAAATTCTGTTTTCATGGTCAGAGAAATTACTATTATTAGGAAATATCTAAAGAAGAAAAATAACTCCTATATTTCTTCTGGAAAGTTTATAATTAATTTAGCATAATTTAAAGAGAGAGATCCAGAGGAGATGCAAGATGTTGCTCAGGTGTTGTGTGGCCAGCCCAGCCACTAACTCATGCCATGATTTAAGTTGAGACACAGAGGTGCCTGATCATTCCCAGCCACTGCCACACTCAATGATTAACATGCTTTGACCTTTAAGTGCAAAGTGACTGAAACCTTATATATATTTATGGTAACATGGGCTTTTGCTGACCAAAGTGTTGCATAATTGCTGCTGTTACCCAGCCTTCCAGCTCAGATTGCAGCTATGACCAGAGTTCAGAGAATGATCCTTCTGCTTGTATTGAGAGAGGCTTCCAGCCTTTATCCAGAGGTGCTAACACCATTCGGTGCATATCCTGTATTGCTCTAGGGGCTCTTTTCACTTGGACCAGTATAAATCATCTAAATTTATTCATACAGGTTGTGAAATCTCTTAGTGCTCAGGTAAGACATCAGAAATGCCAAGGAGCCAATCTACCAGACACATGTAACAATTAAACAGTTTCATCTTTTGTCCTAACAATCTCTCTCTCATTTTATTTACCCTCAGACCTCCCTTTATGTTTAGAAGGGGATTTTCCCCTTACTTTCCCTCAGCTGCACCCCTAAGTCTGTAGCACACAGGAATATCAGAGATCCTCTCCCTGAAAGCATCCAGGGCTACCCCCCTTTCCAAAACCACCATACAAACACCAGAGCTGATTCTCTAGTTCTTGTCTCCAAGACCTTGTTTCAGATTTTGGAGAATGCCTCCCTCATACACAGTGCCAGGAGCAAACAGCCCACAGGAGAGAACAGTCAGGGAAGTTTTTGTCTTTGGGGCAGCTTGGCTCCTTGATGTTAAGGAACAGGCTGGCTGGGATTTCAAGATGAGGCCCTACAGACAAACATCTCTCTTACCATGCTAGAGATGTTCTGTTGGAGAGGGGGACCCGGTCGCCTGTGGCCCCGGGGTCCCTCGCACCTCAGCGTGAGGCGGGAATCTCTCGGCACACGGCGCATGCGCCAGCGGCTGCCACAGGGGGAGGGCGCGTGCGCAGTGCGGTGGCTGGCGTGACCATGGGCGGCTTCGCCCGGCATGACACCGGCAGCCGTCGGGAGCTCTGCGGAGTCGTACACGCGGTGGGGCAGCAGGAACAAGCTGCGCTGCCGCCCTGGGAGCTGCGGAGAGACGGCCCGTTCCCGCGGCGGAAGGGTACGCACAGACGGCGGGAAGCGGTGCGCATGCGCAAACCGCCCAGCTGCGAGAAAAGTGAGGCAGACCGTGATTAGTGCGTATGAGCCGGCGTCCTTCCCTGCTGAAGGGGGAGTGGGGCGCATGCGCGCGTCCACCGCCCTCAGTATTGGTGCAGATTCCCGCGGCTGCAGTGGGCATGCGCGCAGTGGCCGCCTGCAACCGCGCGGGGGCGGCAGAGCCCGGGCGCGTGCTGCCCCGTTCCCGCCGCCCGGCTGAGGGAGCGGCCGCCAGCCCCGCGGCGCCTCCGCCGAGGCGGGGAGGGATCGTTCCCGTCCTCCTCCAGGGCACTTGCCTTTCCTACCCTGCTGAAACGGGACCTCGTGTTTTAAGAAGACGAAGAATGGTGTATCCCCTCCATAACACTCACTCTCAGAAGATAATGCCCCCAGCCCTCTAGAAATACCAAAAAAGGAAACCCTCTTAATAGCACCTTGCGCACTGACAACTGACATCTGCAGTCTCTTCCTTTTGAGCCTAGAATGTGTCTTCAAGTTTACCATGTAACTCCCCACAGAGGCAGCCAAAGTGCCTCATTTACAGAAGCGAGCCCCCACCTGTAGCCTTTCCTGACAGAGGGAGCAGTCTGTATCCCACCATTACCATCTGCTCAGGTAAGAAGTGCTCTACTTTTTTTTCCCCCGTAACTCCTTCGTTGGTAACATAATATTCCTTTCTTGAAGTTTCCGTACCCACTCTACTGTCACTATTAATTTTTAAAATTAAGAGTCCCATAAGTAGTTTCCCTCTCCTTCCCCAAAGGCATTGCTGTGTAAAGGAGTTGTGATGTTTGTCAGTATGCAGAAGTTCAAGGAAAACAAGGTGTTAGGTGACTATCTGTAGGACAAAAGCAAGTGTATGTTCAGCAGCCACTGGGACTACAGGGCATAACACCACAGTACACTTAAGTAGTAATATGAAAAGGAGTATTGTTTTGGACAGTGGTCACCCTAAGGTAACCGCTTTTCTAGCAATGGGAGTATAACCAAATCTTTTGTTTAGAGAAAACTTCTAGCTTTTATGAGAGCATGCACTGATATTGCCACATCTTGAACAACTGCAGCTAAATCTAAGACTCCAGATTAAAACCAGTTTTTAACATTCAGGCCCTGACTCCCATTGTCAAAGGAGAGCAGAAGTTGAAAATTATTTTCACAAATGACTACCAAACTAGCAGATGCACTCAGGCTTCATAAGGATACAAGTGATCTTCAGTAAAAGTTTCATTTACAATATAAAACAGTAATGCCATTTTTAAACAAACCCTACAGGTAAAGAGAAAATATCACACCTTAACAAAAAACATTTATTCTAGCTAAACAAAATGTACAATGTTTCCCAAATGACAGTGAGTTTTCATGACTCTCTGAAGCCTGCAGATCCATTGAGTAACTCGATCACTTCTTACCCTGCAGTTTGATCAAACTACTTTTTGCCAGACTTCTTTATTCCACCGCTGGCTGCCAAAAGAAACAACACAATTGGTTAGACAACTGTTACAGAGCTTAGCTACAAATGTAGTTCCTCATAAAGTCAAATCCCCACTAGACTGCCTGTACAACCGAGATCCCCACTGGTGAATTAGTTTTGAATGTGTTACTCTTCTGTGTGTGTGATCTCACATACAGAAACCAAGTTTCTCCTGGAAACAAATATGCCCCAGAAATCTACAACTGAACTAAATATTTCAACAAATCCTTTGTTCTTCTATGGACACCCTCCACTGTTTATTTCTTATACAGTAGGAGTATAGTCTGGTCAAATCAAATCCAAGGCTAGGGGAATATAAGCACTGGTATCCCTACAGCAACCAGAGCCCCCAGTTGGGATCAAAGCTCTATAGAAGCAGATACTGGAATTGTAAGAATTCCAGTTCTCTGGAATTACCTGTTCTCTGCAGTCCCTGTTATTGAAAAGATTAAAGCAGGATGAAACAACACTACATATTAACACGACAACAAATGCTGCATTTTTTTAAATGCTGCTTTTTACAGTATGTGTCATGTACGACCAGTGAAAAGGAAGAAAGATTAGCAAGGCTACAGCAAGACAGACCGCAAGGACTGACGGTCAACAACAGACTTTGCACTGCAATATGATTCTATCAGCGTTGCATTGCTGAGGAACTTGGAAATAGTCTATTCCCCCCACCCCCCCATAACATAATAATCACTATCTGCTTTGGCAAGCACTGGACAAAGACCAGATATCTGAAATTCAGCCTAGAAAAAGGTAAGAGTAATAATGGCAGGAAAGAACTATGAAGAAATCTGTAAACTGAAACACCCTATGCAGAACAAGTTTAAGATGGTAAGGACACAGAAGAGAAGCTCAGTCAGTTGTTTTGCATTGGTCTGTAGTACCAAAGACATTCTGAGTCCCACACCCAGCATGTTTTCTGTACACCAATAAATCAGAGGAGCTAGATCAATTTGAGATAAATAAATAGGAAATATCTCAAGTCAGACTGGATGGCACTCCCTCCAAGAGCACTAACAAGCTCTGGTGTGAAAATGCAGAATTGCTGGCTAAGATTTGAAACTATTGTTACAGCCACTCTGTTAGTGGTCTCAGACTGCCAGCATAGCTCCCAGATACAGAAAGGATTCTGTAAAGAACTGGGGAACTATAGGCCATCAAGTTTTACCTTGATCTCTGAGAAGATAACAGAGTCTGTAACAAAGCAAATGGATAAACACAGTCTCATGAAAGTTAACAGGACTTCTAAGTTAAATCCTTCCTCACTGACGTGCTGGAACTCTGAGGTTGTCATTAAGCGTACAGATAAACTGAATCCAGGGGACTTCATATTTTCAAACAGCATCTGACAGGATTCCATAGCAAAAGTTGCTAGTGAAACTAAGTTGCCATGGGATTGCTGGAAAGGTCTTTCTAAGACCTTTCAAGACTGAAACCTTGCTAAAGAATAGGAAGCAAAGTGTAAATGTGAAGTTTAACAGTCTTAACAGAATGGAAGAGTGATTGGTCATGATGGACCACAGGGTGCACCCTTTAACATCTCTCATCTGATCACTGCAAATGCTGGAGGAGTACAAGGCAAGTGCACAGACTCACGTTAACACTACCTCCTACTATCACTATGTGAGACAAAAACCATCAAGGGTCTCAATGCACCACCTGCAAACTTTCTTCTGTGACACAGTGTACTTTACAGTCACTTAGGCAAAAGGGTTGAAGCCAAACTAATTTCCAGTTACTTTTATTCTGCCAGGACTTCGCTACTCTTGAAAAAATTAGTTCTCTAAGAGGATTTGTTAAACTTTCAGGACCGTGGCAAAGCCTACGTGTAACATATCTGGAAAGAAAAGGATGGTGTGCTAAAATGAGAGTAGAAATGTCTCTGTGCCATCCCACCGGAATAGGTTAGCATGCCAGGCACAGCCATACCCCTTAAGGCAGAACCTGCATGAGTAATTTGGGGATTAAATTGCATAGTGAAATTAAAAAAAACCCCAAACCTCTATTGGTTATTTATCATCTGCACCTGCCATCAACTTACTGGTGTATGTTAAATAACCTAGAGGTACATGCCTTTTTATGTTTGTCAAGCAAACCCATTACATTTTGAAGCCAGCAAGCCCTCCATTTTTCCTAGCCGTATGGCACCTCACTTACTGAGGGGCCCTTTTCCAGCAGCCTTTGCTTTCATCTCCTCAAGTTTCTTTTGCTCCTCCTTCTGCTTTTGTTTAAATGCCAGATCTGTCTAAAGAAAAGAACAAGTGTTTGTTAACATCTCCTTACCCAAAAAAATTCAAAAACTGACAAGCAATAAGAAACAAATGTAATGTTCTAACAGCAATAAAAACCTAATGGAACTGACGCAAGACAGCTGAATACTACTAAATATGCTGAACCTTACAGAACTATGACAAAATTTTTTTGTTGTACCAGAACACAATGACTAAACTTTAACTTTGTATGTTTGTTCTTTCTGAAATTAAACAAGTATCATTTCCTATGGCATAATCTCATTCTGCCTTCTGAATGATAGATGTTTGCACTAAAACCATTCACTAATATACCACCAGTGATACTGGGAACCCAGTGGACAAGTGCTGTTTAACAATAAAACTTGGGTTATATAGGATAAGATTGCCGTTTCCTAAAAAAAAAAAAAAAAAAAAAAAAAAAAATTTTGAAAAAATCCTTCCACACATATATCACTATTTTTGCTGGGTTTAATACAGTTCTGTTAGCTCCAAGAAATCAAATGAGACCGCTGGCAAATAGTACAGTCAAGCCAGCTGTTGAGCATCCCAGTTAGAACAGCCTCCAGAATTCAAGGCTGCTCAGACATACTCTATCCTTTAGATACGTATTCTTCATGGACATCAAGGCTGAAAGGGACCATAGTCATCTTTCCTGGCACTCAGGATTTTGGGGTACCTAAACTGAGGACCCTGGGACCCTGACAACTGAGATTCTATAGATTCTTCACCAGTCCAGTCCACGCCTCAACTACTTTCATAACTGGGAAGTTTTCCTCTTCTTTAAGTTAAAAATTCTCTTGCTGCAGTATAGGCCTATTACTTCCCCTACCCATCCCACGCAGAACAGAAAATAATATTCTGGTTTTCGCTCTAGGTTTTCCACTGGGTTGTTTTTTTTTTTCTTGTAGACTGATGTGTCTTTCTTAGTAAATCAATCCCTCCCATTTATGCACTTCTGTGGGGTTTTTTTATTCCAAGTGTTGCCCCCAAGCACTTGCAGTATTGCAGTGCTGAGGATGTCCTGGTTTTGGCTGCAGTGAAGTTAATTTTCTTCCTAGTAGCTGGCATAGTGCTGTGTTTTAGATTTAGAATGAGAATAATGTTGATAACACACTGACGTTTTAGTTGTTGCTGAGCAGTGTTTACACTAAGTCAAGGACTTTTCAGATTTTCATACTGCCAGCAGAGGCTGGAGGTGCACAAGGAGCCTGGGGGGACACAGCCAGGAGAGCTGACCCAAGGGGTATTCCATACCATATGACATCATGCCCAGTATATAAACTGGGGGGAGTTGGCGAGGGAGGCACTGCACCTCAGGGACTGGCTGGGAATCAGTCAGCAGGTAGTAACTGTCTGTATTGTGCATCACTTCTTTTGTATATTATAGTAGTAGTATTATTTCTCCTTCATTTTCTGTCCTATTAAACTGTCTTTATCTCAACCCACAAGTTGTTTGTTTGTTTGGTTTTTTTTCTTCTGTCCCCCATCCCACTGGGGGCAAGGGTAGTGAGCAAGCGGCTGCATTGTGCTTAATTGCTAGCTGGGGTTAAACCACGACAGAGGAAGAGAAATATTATTACATCATGTTTGACACACAACATTTTGTTTATACATCTTGTATGATTTTTTTCTTTTGCAACACCTGATTTTGCAGGTTCATGTTCAGTGTATGATGCAAGTCTCAAATCTTTTCAGGTGGACCTGGAGTTTAGCCAGTCATCTTCCTTGTATTTTATAAGTTGATTAGTCTTAACAAAGAAAGGCACTTGGCATACATACTTAATTAAATTAATCAATTTTTTCAAACCTTCTCCAATTTATTAAGATTACTTTGACAGCTAGTCTTGTCCTCTGACAGTCTGTGGCCCCTCCAAACTTTCTGTTTTCCACCAAGAGAATAAGCCAGACCGTCAGTCGGTCAACCAGCCAGCCAAAGCACTAATTAAAATATTATTTCAACTCCAGTCAAATACAAAATTTTGAAAAACCCCACTCTGTGTCCTCACAGTCAGACTGAATTGTTAGTAACTGCTTTTAGAGCGTAGCATTTCAGCAAGCTGCATGCTCACCTCCCATCACCTTTCGAGGTCCTGTTCCTGCCCTGCGCTTAAGGACACTACGTGAGCCGGTGTCCAGAGCCTCACATCTACTGGTTTTCTCCTCATACACAGGGCACTGCCCTGCTACAGAATGGAATTTCCTTTGTTTGACACATTTGTACTGAAACCTATACTGGTTAATAATTTTTATATTATTGTAACTTGAATGCTTGTAAGCACTTAACTGGTTCTACCGTTTCTCTAACAATAAAGCCTATTTAGAAAACTATAATTATTATTTTTTTCTTTTTCAAAGAGACATCATATTTGATCTTCTCCCAAACACTGGGGCCTCACCCGCCCTTCACAATCCTCAGAAAGAACAGTTTACACTCATACGCTGAGCCCTTACATTTAAGTATCTCTAACGAGATTCACTAGTACCTAATTCATTTGAACTACTTGCTAATCCCCGGTTTTGTATCCTGCCCTGGGCTCCTGTGACCGCGTTAATTCGTTAGATTTCCCATCACAGCCTGCTGCTGTGGCGAGGACAGTCCAGCCTTCTCCGTGGCACCGGACTCCTCCGTTAGCCAGCACTGCCGCATTCACCGTGAATACCGGGGGAATGTCAGCAGAAAAAAAAGAAGAAAAACCAAACAAACAAAAAACGGCAAAGCGGCGCCGCGGAAGGCAGCGCATCACCGCTCGGCCCCTCACGGCCGTGCGTTTAACCATCAGAACGCCGCTCCGTAGAGTTCGGCGTTCCCTGGAAGGCGCAGTGCCAGGGAGCGCTGAGCCGCGGGCGGGAAGCGGCTCCGCCACACGCCGGGGCCGCGGCCCAGGCCCAGGCCCGAGCCGAGCGGGGCCGCCCCGGGGCTCGCCCGCCGCCCTACCTCGTCCAGGTCCTTCGACTGCTTCTTCGGCTGCTTCAGCGGCTTCTTCTTGCCGCCTGCAAAGACAGAGGAGACAGTGAGGCCCGGGGAGGCAGGAGAGGGCGGGCGGCGCCGGGGGCCCCGGGCCCGGCCTTACCCTCTCGGCCCGACATGGTGCCCGCTCCGCTCCGCTCCTCCGCGCCGCCCCTCGCCGCCGCTTCCGCCCGGCCCCGCGCGGTCACCGTAGCGCTTCCGCCGCCGCTTCCGCCGCCGGCGCCGGGCCGGTCCCCGGGCAGGTAGGAAGGCGGCACCCGGGCTGTGGCGGTGCGGCGCGGGGGATGGCTGCCCCGGGGACGGGCTGCCTGCCGGGGGAGGAGCGGCTTGGCGCGGCGGGCCGGCCCGGGAGCTGGCGGCGGGCGCGGCCTACGCGTGGAGCTGGCCGTGGGAGCCTCGCGGGGGTCGCCTTCTGGGGCCGAGGTGGGAGCGGTGCCGCTGCCTGGGCCGGCGCGTGGCTGCTGGAGGCGGTAGCGGCCTCGCCGCGCGGGTCAGTGGGTGCTGGGCGCGTGGTCCGGCCGCTCTGCGGGCGGTGCAAGGGCCCCTCCGGCGGGGGAGGGGGTTGGGTACGCGGGCAGAGCTGACTTTGCACCCTTCGCAAGGGTGAGCGGTAGAGCTGCGGGGGTGTGGCGGCGTATCGCAAAGTCTGTTTTTACGTTTGGGCCGTGATAAAAGAGACGGACGCGAAGTAACGTATGACCCATAAAAGGTAGGCTTACTCACCACCAGTGTCCAGTGTGTGTGGCAAGTGGGGTGTAAACCTTTTGAAAGGACATTTATGTAAGTGATTGTAAGCAGAGGAAACTCATTTTCTTGTAAGGGGAAGCGAGAGAGGGATGAGGCATCTTACCTCAGATGAAGACTTGATAACTGTCTTAGGTCCTGTTAGCTCAGGCTGAGATTACTTTCTTTGCAGTCTCTTTGCAACTGTCTATATAGAAATTCTTTTAAAAATCTCAATTTTCTCTCTTTTTGCTATATTGTGTCAACAGCCTGAATATTTGATAAAACTCTTCATGTAGCAGTGCCATTAGAAGAGGGAAATCTTGCAGTCTAGAAAGGACAGAGCTGAGTTGAGGTTTTAGCGCATGGCCTGCAACGTAGAGTCAGTGTTGTAACAATAAGACGTATGAGTGATGCTTGAAGGAGAGAGAACTTACTTAATTTCCATGTTTTTGTGGGTTTGATTTACCATATTATTATGCATATAAAACAACTGACAAGGTTTTCACAATGTTGCTTGGTGTTATTACTGTTTGTTAGAAATACTTAACAGGGAATGAACCTGTGGCATTCAGAATCAGTAGACAGCTAAAAGCTGATCAAAAAATGTGTACCAGTAGGAAAAATCCTTTTCTGTGAAGATGCCTGTATTTGGACATATATGATCTCATTAAACTCATAAAAATAACATGGAAAACTGTTTTTAAATGGTTTAAAAAAAACATGCAGCAGCTATGAAGCCTCCTCAATAATCCATGTTATTATATTAATTATTCAAAACTTAATATAGTCATACTCAAACTTCATATAAAGCCTTATTTAAAAGTTTTCCAGTTTACATGTTTTAGAGAAATGCACTCAGTAGAAAATCAAGGACTTATTTGCAAATCAACGGACAATAAACAATAATTTGCAGTCTGCTTTTGCAGTGTAACTAAAAATTTAAGCTCATTGTAAAATGCAGCCCTAGTTGTGTGTTCACTACCTGATATTCTTCTGATCTTCTGGCTATTTCTTATGTTTTACTTCTGTGGGCGGCCTCATGAGGATACTTGTGTTTAGTTCATCACTTCTGTATTTTCTCTGTCCTTTATGTTTTTGTCTTTTAATCCTTCAACATGTCGTGTATCTGTGGAGTGTAAGATAAAGGGAATGATCAAGCCCCACCACTTTTTTTAATCAAGATTTTTTCCCCCCTCTGCCTCTTTTCCTTTTTCGTTCTTTTGCAGAATTGTCAGTAACTGTGACATGGTACACCAAACTCAAGTGTGAAAGCACAAGGCAAAATTTCATATGGCAATCACTTCTGTGCTGAAGCATCAAATTACTCTGAAGCTACTCCTGCTGGTACTGGACCTGCACATGATCACTGTTCATACAGTCAGTGAATTAGCAATCAAGAAGCATGATGAGAGTACTTACTAACAACAAAAAAGCAGAAATTGTTGGCAGAACTACACTTTGAAGACTGTGGAAAGTTCTCTAGGTAAGTAATCTTGCAAAACTAGTGATGGTTTAACTGATCTTGAATTTTACTGGTTTTGGTACACGTGTAGTTTTAAGAGCCATACTAGAGTAACTTTTCTTTTTCTTCTTCATCCTTGTAGCCCTTTAATTCAGTGATTAAGTTCAAGACACAGGGCCAATGAAATACAAATCAAGTGTGTCCTCGGTGTCCTGCAGTCTACAATATCACCATCCATTGATAAAGTGGAGTCCAAAAATGAATTTACACATAGTGCGGACTTACTGCTCCTCAGCACCTAAGAGGCCTGAAGCCAAGTCTGCGATAGAAATGGCCATGGGTCGTCTTAATCGGCTGACAGAAGCTGGCACTGTTATGGGAAAAGACTCCCTTCAAAAAATGTCTGCAATATGTAAGAGTTGGTGGGACAGATATGAAGAGTTTGTTGGAATTAATGAAGTTCGAGAGGCTCAGGGAAAAGTGACAGAGGTAAACACAGAGATAATGTGGAAATTTAAAAATAATGAGTTAAAGTCTAAGAGGTATAAACACTGGTTGTAAGGCAAAAAAGGTCTTCCAAGGAGAATTGTGTCTTGTCGTCTGCTTTGCGCAGATACTATAAATGTGCTCTAGTCTATGTATGTTAGTAAGTATAGCTTATCCCATAGAGTGAAATGGTGTGTTTGGCTTGGTTTGTTTTTTTTAACCCAGAATTCATGTAATTAGCAATTTAGATCTGTCTGGTAATAAGTCTCTAAAATAAATACTCTTTCTTCTCAGGCTGAAAATGTCTTTATGATAGCTCGAGGGATAGTACGAGAGGCTCGTGAAAATGTAGAAGCCCAACAGATGAAACTGAAGGAAATTCGTGACCGCTTAGACAGGGTATCTCGAGATGACACCCAGTATTTAGAACTGGCTACTCTGGAACACAGGCTGCTGCAGGTAATTTGTTGGTACTTGAGCACTGGCAAATATAATGAAAAGTTGTGTGCTTTGCTTCCATCACTAGTGACTGTTTTGTAGATGCAGTTCAGATCTGAAGTACAGTGATCTGAGTTAATTTTTTTATTATACTTGTTTTAGTTAATTATTACCAATGGTTTGATCTGCTATGCAAATTGTATATGTTAATGCTAAAATAGGATAGTAAATTTGGAAAAGAAAGCTGAAGATAGTGAGCCTAGAAAATTATTTGTTGTAGTGGTGACTAGTACGTGAGTAATCAACAAAAAACTGGGATTCAATCATTAACCTTCCATGTGATGAGAGAATCTCCTTTCTGGTTGTTAATCCATAAGAACTCTCTCAGCTGCCTTCTATGTGACTGTGGCACACAGGCAACTCATTAAAGCTTTTGTCAGAGATCAGCAAGAAGGAGGCTGCTCCATGAGGGAGGGAAAGCGGGAAGATGAAGTCAACCACAGTGCAGGCTGGGGCAGTGTCCTCCCCAACGGGGCGCAGTCCTCCAGCACCTCATCTGGATGAGCCAAGCAGGGCTGGTGACAAGAACATGTTATTAACAGTCTGTCAATCAGAGATAAAGACAAGGTAGCAGCCAAAGTCAGTCCGAGAAATCCAGACAAAACTGCAGAATGGCAGGGAACAGGCCTGGAAGCAGGTACACCTATGGCAAAGCTCAGTCGTGGGTACCAGTGCTTGAGCTTAATCTGAGCAACCCAATTGGTGGGTAAAACGTCAGGAAAGAACTAGAGAGCTGTCATTGCCTAAATAAGGTATCAGGTCTGTGTGGATGAGACTTAAAGAAGAATAGAGCTCTGCATAACTATGAAGAAAGGTAGAACTCAAGTCACCGCTGTCTGTAAGGTGGTGGTGCCATCTCGCAAAAGAAATACATGTTTGGAAGAGTGAGAATAATTCTGGGAGATGCAGGGAGAAAGCAAAGACATTTATTTGTCTGTGAGCAGGGTAAGAAAGAGAATGCAGAGGAATGAGAAGTGTTTATGTTCATGAGATGAACCTATCCCAGACATCCTTTCCAGTCCTATTTTCAGTTTCCACTTAAAGGATTTAGATCTGGAAGGGAAACGTGTGGTAAAGGTAGTGTTTGGAGAAGTAAGCAGGACTGAAAAAGTGTACATTATAGGGGGAGAAAGACCCTACCAACTTGTAGCCCTTTTCTGTCATCAGCATGTGACAGATTCTTGTGTAGAGGATATTCAGCTGTAATTCCTGAACACCTTTTCCATTTCTCAGTTTTGACCTAAAATGGTGTCTCATTGACTAAAGTAGGATTAATAAAGAAAATCCCACATTAAAAGGAAAATTTCTGAAACAGAACTAATGGGTGTTCTTAGTTTCATTCATTTTCTTCATCTGCACTGGGGTTTTGGGTTTGGTGTTTTGGTTTGTTGTTTTTTTTTTTTTTTGTATAGACTTTATAGCTTCATATTATACCTTCTCCTTAAAATCACTGTATTTCTTGCAGGAAGAGAAGAGGTACCGAGCTGCATATTTAAATGCAGAAGAATCTGAGAGAGAAAAATTCTCTCTCTTCTCTGCAGCTGTACGGGAAAGCCATGAGAAAGAGCGAACAAGAGCTGAAAAAACGAAGAACTGGTCTATTATTGGTTCTATTCTGGGAGCCATTATAGGTGTTCTTGGTTCCACCTATGTTAATCGAGTAAGGCTGCAGGAATTGAAAGTCTTGGTGCTTGAAGCACAGAAGGGCCCAATAAATTTGCAAGAAGCCATCAAAGAGCAGGCCTCCAGCCATTACTTACAGCAGAAGGATCTCAGTGATGTCATAGCAGAGCTGAAAAATGTGCTGCAAACAAGGACATCACAGGAAATAAAAGAAGGTGCTTTGTTAACTAAAGAAGAAAGGAATGACTCCATAAAAATAGATTCTCTTTTAATTCCTTTAAACGAACAGCTAAAGTACACTAAACAAGTCAGTTCATGTCTAGGGAGTTTACAACAGCAGTTTAACAGTCTGCAGGGAAGTATAGCGCAAGTGATTTCTGAGATGCAGAGTGTTAAACTTGCAGTCCATTCTAGAGCTACAGAAAGAGTGACGCCAAGGCCTTCAGTGGAGGGTAAGGGCCAGGCTTCTGCCGTAAGAGATGTGATTTTAGAATTGTGTGATACAGAGCGGAGACTGGAAACACAAATCAAGAGAAATTCTATTTACAGCACTGCGTTGACATGTGCTATGTTTGCTATTACTATGCCAGTACTCTATATTATACTTAAAGGGAACTGATCTCTAATTAATTGCCACAATTTACTAGATTAATAAAAGTAAACTTGCACTTTAAGTACTTAGAGTACAAGTCCAAATAAAGTTGTGTTAGCATTTCTCATGCTTTCTCCTGTATATTTGGAAAACTTGTAAAGACTTAGTCCATCTACTACTGCAGGCTCTATGTCTTTGTCATGTGTTGTTTTTAACTCCTCAAGCAAAGGAAATTCCACAGTTTCATCTGTTGATTTCATTTACTGCTTTCACTCTTTTACTTTCTGGTCTTGTATATCATGCCAATCAATGACTTTCACTCTGAAACTGTATTGTTGATTTTCTGTTCAAATGATCCCTTTATTCTATCATTGATCTAAGTGCTTCATGTGTAATCCTTTATAATTTTAGTCCTGAGTGCTTCATAGTTTTGCAGTTTGTCCATACACAAAGCAGTAGGAGTCATTTTACCAAACAAGTATAAGTATTTGTCCTGAAGTTTTTTTTTCTCTGTTTTTTTTTTTTTTAAAAAAAATTCTAGATACAGTGCAGTGACTTGATATGTGACAAACAGCAGGGGCCATGTAAATAAGGAGGATTGAAGTTACCATGATCCAGTGTGGCTGCTCAGCCAGAGGATCCATTTAAAATACATTGAAGTTACACGTGGTAACCTTTTCCTAAGACAGTTTATCATGAAGTAACCAGAAGCGTTTCTGGAGATTCAGCTATCTGTTAACTGATAGCTCCATGTCCTTGAAAACTTGCAGTCAGCAAAAGAGAAAAAGGGTTCAGATACAGAAATGTATTAAGTATGATGATGTTTATTCTGGCAGTGCAAGCCAATTATCCTTTCTACAGACTCCTTAACCCATCATTCCCTAGGTATTTTGTGGCTTCAGTAATCATCTAGGGAGCCATCACTTCCTTAGCCATACTAGTATCTCATAGGAACTTCGTCCATTTTTTTTATTCTTTTTTCAATTTTGTCTTGTCTGGAAATTGAGATGCTACTCTACAGCAGGTGCTTTTAAGCCGGTACATTAATGGTAATAGTGTTATGCAAACTACTCTAAAATACTATTTGGAAAAAAGTGAAAATTCCAGTTGCCTGTTTTTCCTGGAAGGATGAGGAATGGCTGATTGATGAAACATGCTTGTCTAAACAGCTAATCATCAATATCTGTGTGTGGCCTCACACAGTTTTTGGTATCGCTGCACTAAGATAGTTTTCTCACTGTGATGGTAGCGGATAAGCAAATCAGATGTGGAACTCCTGCTCTGTGACCGCTTCTCTGGAACCTTTGCAAACAAAGGAGCTACAAGCTCACTCCAGGCTGTAATGCCTTTGTGTAAGCGATTCAGAATGACTAAGCTGTGTTTAGTATACAGTCTGCTATGGTGCTTTTTTTTTTTTTTTTCTATCAACTCTATAGTTTCTTCTGCCCAGTAACCATATTGAAAGAGTTTGAGGTTTTGATTATAAGCTCCTAAGACTGTGAGATCTTTGGGACAGGGACATGTGCTCTATGAGGCACCAACTTCTTTAGGTGCTATTATAGCATGACTGAATAAACAAACAGTATTAGGAAAGATCTGTGGTGATTCACTGCTTGTAAGAGAGATGAAGTATGCAAAAGACGGTTTTGGGAAGGACCACTGCTGATTTATATGTCGATTGTTTGGAATGTAAAATTAATAACTAGCATTTATCAGGGAAGTTGTTTGATGTGATGGCTTGAGAACTGGGATAAAAACTCCCATACACTTACCTTCTTCAAGAAGCATACATACAGATGAATACAATTTTTCAAATCTATAATATTTAATTTTCTTATTTCACAAATATTTTTACAGGGTATACTACTTGTAGGAGCTTGATGAAAATCAGACAAGTGTGTTATTAAAGGGGAAAGGATAGTACAATTGTTCTATTTGTAATTTATCGGCACTAGTCACTGATAATTTTGTTCTCTTTTGTTGCGTTTTTTTTTTCCTTCAGTTTAACTGTGTAAAGTTAGGCCCCCTTATTATGTAAGGGGCTGAATTTTAGGTACTCAGCATCACTGAAAAGAGTGGATTATATATATGTGCATGGTTTTTAAATGCTGAATGTTAGGCAGCTAAACTTGAAAGTCAGTGCAGCACTCACTGAATTGTACTTGGTGATGTCAAAAATTAATAGAGGTCCAAGGCTAAACTTGTATACAATAAATAAGAGAATACAAAAACAAGGGTTGTTTATTGCTGTAAAGAGATCTGTTTTTTACCCACTTAAAGAAGGTATGATAGTAGGTAGCTTTAACATTATGTAGAGTTATGGGAAGAAAAATTCAATGAGAACAGTAGCAAATATATCTGTGATAAATGATTATTTGAATACGTGGCCTGAAATTTGAGAAAAGCTGGGAGGTGTGATATGTATCAAGATGAAAATAACTGGATCTCATCGTTTGTAGGGAGTTTAGAAGATTCAGGAACAGATACTGTGTGTTGTGTAGCTGGCAGAACTCATTGTTGCGAGCGGTTCCTGTGGTTCTCTTATGTCTGCTCTTCCTTGCTAAAGCCTCGTATGTGAAGTGACAGCAGAATAATTTCAATTAGGAAAAAACCTTGTAATTAACTGTGTCTATATAATAATTAGGAGGGCAGATTTGTATATTCCCTCAATCCTGGATTAATCATCACTCCATTGTGGCAGTGATCTAAAGGTGTAGTTTGGTGCTGAGCTGTATGTGTACCCCAAAGCCAGAAGGTGTGGCTGCAACAGTAACAGCTGTACCCGAGCTAGCTGAAGGCAATATCTGTGAGGACTCTGTAACACAGACTATTCTCATAATCTGTTCAGTACTTTATGCTAAACCTTTGTCATGGTAACCAGGCAGTAAATAGACAAGTTTGAACAAATCAGCCACAGCTGTACAGAAGTGCTTGAGCACTTGCATTAGTTCAGGTACATTTGCAGTACCAACACTGGTTTACACAAGGCACAGTGACATCTCTGCACATATTTCCTGATGATTCAGCCGTGGCTAAATGAATAGTTCATTGCCTGTGCTATTCTGGGCTATTTTATTTAAGGAAGGAAAAAAAAATGTTTTGTTGCATACCTATGGATTATTAACAAAGTTTATAATAGTTGAGTTTCACTTTTGGAATGAGGTATCTCAGATGAAGCTTTCCTCAACAAGCACGTTCTGCTTCCTAAGGCCTTTTGAGACTTAAATTCTTGCTCTTTCTGTGAGCAAAGTCTTCTCTGGGCAGGATGGCTCAGCCAGCCCTGTGTCCCAAACACTGATTTGCCAGGAGGGATTGCGATTGCAATAGTTTGTACAGGTCTAGTGAGGCCAGGGACTGACCTATGCATTGTGTATGGGTCAGAGAAAGCCAGTGCTGATTCAACTTAATTCCACTGTCAATCAAGACACAGAAGATCAGTTAAAGAAAGAACCTAGAAGAGCAACAGGAAGCCCTTTGATAGACATTAACTGTAGAGAAATGGGTGGCAGTAGCCTGAGCTTGGCCCATGCTAAGTTATTTTGAGTTCTTCCTGCTCCTTGAGAAACCACTAGTAACTCAAAAGCAAACAGCCTGGTGGCTATGGAAATAACTTTTAATGAGGTCACTGCAGACTTCTAACAGTAGGTGCATTCTGAAGAGGAAAGTTGCCATTCCTTCCACTCATGAAAGGAATAGCAAATGTTGCTTATGAATACAGGACAAAAGCAATTACATGTAGTGTCACAATTAGGATATATGTATTTATTTATTAACACTTGAGTTGTGAATGTTCCAACATTCTAAGGTCCTGGTTGGAAGTTGCAGGTGCTCCTGTTGGTTTCATTGTAATGATCTGTTTGGAAAAGACAGTTTCTTTCACATAATACCTTCTAAAAGCAATTACTTCCCTCTTTGTGGAGTTTAGGAGTGGTAGATGTCCTGTTTACTTCAGAAACAGGATTGAGATTTGCAGTGGGATTGAGGTTCGTGAGCTAGGAAAAGGGAGACAATGCTGGGATTGTCCATAATATATTTAGAACTGTATTTTATTGCCAGATTTTTGCTAGCAAGTTATATTTGTGACCTTTCTCATAAAACATAGAGAAGTGCAGTTTCTGGTATTTGGCAATTGGTGGATAATCTACGAAGGTGTATGCTGAAATACAGCAAAAAAACATCTGGGCCACAGTTTTTATTTTCAAGGAGAATTAAGCCTTCAGGTAATTATGGTTGTGGCAAAGTTTTGGAGTTTCCATTGTGGGAAGCTTCTAAGAACAGCTTAGATCAATATCACCAGGTTTGATACAGGTATGGATTCAGACAATAGTTTTCAAAATTTTCTGTTCTGAGAACAGCTTTTTTTTTTTTTTTTTTTTTAATAATAAAGTGGGAGTCTATGGACAATTTGATGTCCTAGTCATCCTAATGCAGGTTGTCCTATAGTGCAAGTTATTGCAAAATGAGAAAATGTTGTGCTGAGGACATAATAGCTCCGTTTACTACGAGCCATGTGGTGTTATGCACCAGGAGAGTGGGAAGATGCATGTCTGCACAGCTGCAATGAAGTATGACCCTAAAAGTATCGCCTTAGTAATTATTTTTCAAAATCAAATTTGTAAGGTGACTTCTCAACCAATTTTGAAATACTATGCAAGAAGGTTTTTTAAATGCTGTTTTTAATAGAACTTTGCACACCTCTATTGTAAACTTTTAAATGGCTGCAGCCTACACTGGCCTTTCTGTGAGTTTGCCTGAAGCAAGCTGGCCCATTAAAGATTAGTGTATTTAAATACTGGCGTATCATACACTCTCAGGATCTTCCGTGTGCTTCAAGACTTGTTTTAAAAAAAAAACAGCACCTCGTCTGTGCTGACGCAATGAGCTGATCACCCAACCCTCTGTATTAGTTTGGTACGTGTAATCTATTTCATCAAATGCATCTGATTCTTGCTTTTCATGGAGGTGGTTGTGACAATCTGCGTGGCTGGAGCCTTCACCTGTGATGTTGGAAAACTTGTTCATGGCGACATTGGACATGCATAATGCATAGGCCACAGAGCTCTAAGGTAAAGGGCTTGTCACAAGCTTCCCAAGCTTGTTCTGCAGAGAGAAAAGTAAACCTGTGCAAATAGGTGTGTGTTTAGAGAGTCTCTTACTCTGCTCCCACAGGTTCTGGGATGCTGGGCACTGTTCAGGCTACACAGTCTGCGAGTTGTGTTCAAAAGCAGATCCTTAAACATCTACAGACAGCTGCTAGCAAAACTGTACGTGCCCCAAGGATGATGATGAAGACCTTAATGCTGTTTCTAAATATTCTGGCAAACCGAAAACTTGAAAGGAACAGAGTCAGATTTAAATCAGGGTAGATGTAGTCAGCCTTCTGTTGGTGCCTGAATTGCTGTTCTAAATGCAATTTATTCCCAGAAGCTGTAGACAGTATTCAGATATATTCCTCATGACTTTCTTAACCCATCTCATCTCCTGCTTGGAGGGGAGGAAGAGTATGAAAAATATCAAAAGAAGAATAAGCAGCTGCTAGCCTTGTGATTATCATAATAGTTATGTAAGAAACTTAGCTAACCTGCTTAGAACCAGACATGAACAAGGACTTTTATAAAATAGGCTCCTTTATGGATTTAAATACATTAAAAAAAGCTTCTGAGCAAATGGAAAAACTGTTTAAATTTGTTGCTCAGTATGTTTGTTCTCTGTGTGACACTGTTTTCAGCTGTGTAATGCTTGAGAACTAGCTTTTTCTCTAGTTTATTGTTAAGAACTGCAAAAGGTTTTTGTGCAGACCAGTCAAAGCTCCTCCCTGAAGAGGCAATGTGTAATTCCATGGTGATTTTACAATATCCTGGTCACTCTGGGTGGCTGTAAGTACAGTTAGAAGGCGGGGGGGGAGAGGGCACTAAAACATCCTTCAAGTGCACAGAAGTTCTGCCCCGCTCCCAAGGCAGATGCTGCAGCCAGCTCCCTGCTCCAGCCCTGCTATGGGACAGAAGGAAAAGCTGCTCTTTTCCAATGTGCACTCATGGGACTTTTTGCTGCTTTTTAAGTGAAGCTTGTGCATGTTTTTTACCAGATCCTGCTAGTGGTTGCAGGTTGGGACTGGCTCGAGAGGAAAGGCACAAAGGGGATTAGTGTTTTGAGTCAGGAATGGGTTGGAGCAAAGGAAAATTGGGGGGTTTTTAACACTCTTAGTCACCAAAACTGGATTTTGGTGGAAGCAATTTGAGTGTAGTTAAAATGTCTCTGATTAGTGAGATGATAATAGTCTGTTCAGTGAGCTCTAACCTGAAGAGCAATTCAGGGAGCAGGGTGTGGCAATAGGATGGCTTTGTCTGTGTGGGGAGAGGAGCAAGTAAGGGATCATCTCCTTATGAGAGTCCTCATGGGCACTGAGGACTCCTCAGCATCACAGCACCAGGGAGCAAAGGTCCAGAGAGGCAGCCAGCAGCTGCTTCTGAAAAAATCCTTCCTCTGTGGGACTGTGATCCTGCTGCCACATCCTGGGGACTGTTCAGCATCTCTAAACTTTCAGACATATTTTTTCCTCCGTGAAATAGTTGCTTTTTGGGCAGGGGGTGGGAGTGTGAGAGGCTGATGAATTGTAACAAAATAGATGTTTAAAAACACTTCTGCACATGGGACTTGTATGAACTGTAGTCCTCTGAAATGTCAGAAATGCACGTGGGAGGGAAGTCTGATTCAGACTTTCAGAGCAGCATTGTGTCATTGCGTCTTCATCTGTCCAAAAAGGAAAAGTGATGGGCAGCACTGGCCTACAGTGAGTTCTGTACTTTGTACAACCCAGGCCAGTGCCTGTTTCCTCTTCTTCAGCGTTTGTTTTAACCTACAGCTACTGTATCACTTCTGCATCTCCTCACACACATCCTATTTTTCCTCATGGGATTTGTGGCTGGGTAGTAAAGGCATAACTTCATCTTTTGTCTGGGATTTCCAAACATCTGGCAGTCAGCTCAGTAGGCAAATGGCCATTGGGCTGTGTAATTGTATTCTGTAGGTATAGTCAGTCACTGCATGTGTAGCAAGTCAGTTGTTAGTCTAACTGTACAATGACACAACAGAATCCAGCACGTCTAGGGAACACAGAAGTTACAGTGTGAGCAAGAAAAATAGGAGTATTAATTCTGTCTCTCAGTAGAGCTGTTACTGATAGAACTAACCCCTAATTCAGAGAGAGGATTTTATACAGTTAGTTCTTGGG